CTAAGGTTGACGTTTTGTTGCAGATGGGGGGTGGTCTTTACGGTTCCCAGATGGACGAAGAGGTCAATCAAGCTGCCGAGAATCGCTAGTTAATTGAGCGACGCGGCGGTGGTGCAGGAGGTACTATTTCTTCTTTGACCTTCGCCTGAACCAGGTCCATAGATGTTCGTGTGGCCCTGGGCGGCTGGGGTTGTTGCAATCGCTTGCGCTTGAGCAGCACATTTTGGGCCAACACCGATGGCACGTTTGTAAGCTTCTCTCCTCCTGTGAATTTGGACGTGCTCGACCAACCTTTACGCCCTCGCATGTTAGCATTGCTCAGTTTCTAGAACATGTCCAGATGCAGTACCTGAATTGGCAGGTTTCGCGTCCGTAGGCTGTGTGCTACTTGTTGTGTTGGTGCCTCCTGCCTTTGGGGCAGAGAGATTCGAGTAGAGATCAAACATGAGGCGATTGCTGATGTGGCGGAATTGGCAAAGAATTGATTTATCAATTTTTCTTTGGCCAATAAATGCAAAAAAAAACAGAAAGAAAAAGACGACGGTCCAGAATTTCAGGAGGGGCACACGCCAACTTGTTATTACGCGAACGACCCACAACCTTTTCCAGCCCAGCCAAGTGACTGCCAAAGATTAGGCAAGGTGCACGCTGCCGAGCCGAGAATGGGCACCTTGACACGGTTGCTGGAGGCCGCACTGTCCCTCGTCACGGGCGTCCTGTCCCTGGGCAGTTCTTTTCTTAGTACCAACCACAACGCTAGACCTTATGTCTACCAGCAGTGCGCACTGTACCCCCCCTTCTCTTCCTTCTCGCTCCTGCTAGCACTTTCTCATTCGGCTTGTACTGGCTAGACTTGTGGCTGGTGGTTCTGGTTGTTTTATTACATGAAGCTCGTGTTGGGCGTGGCATCACCATGCCAGGCGCTGGCGAAGATGCAGCACGGGGCCTGTGGTCCGCTTGGGCCGACGGTGCGTCCTCTCTCCACCCACCCAAGAAGAAGCCCCCCTCGCATGCAACACCACCTCACATGAAGCGGAGCGACAACCACACAGGCTACCAATTCAAGGCGGACAATGTCATTCTCTCCTACTCCTCCACTTCCAGCGTCACCACAGCCGCCGAACAATTGGCCTCGGGTGCGGCCGCCTTTGTGAGTGTGGACGGCCTTATCGGGGAGGCCGATCGGGCGTCTTTCCCTTCCGAAACCACGGAGGTGCCCGTGGCTGGCGGGGCTATCGTCGCGACATACAACCTCCCTGGCAACTCATCACTGGTAACCTGCGCATTGCGACCCGGCCTTTTGTCGCTTTAGGCTCTCGTTTTCCTTTTGTGGTGCGTCTTTCCCAAAGCTAATGACCGTATCTGGTGATCAGGTGTTGGATGGAGTTACGCTGGCGCGAGTGTGGCACGGGGAGATCCGACAGTGGAATGACTCGGCCATCGCCGCACTCAATCCTAATGCCACCCTGCCTAGCAACGACATAACCATGAGCTTCGCGTACCTCATACCCAAAGAGTGGGTAGTGCCAGGTGGGCTGACCTCTTTCCCTCGTGCTCTATGCACAGTGCCAGCGGCAGCGATGGGATCACGCGCCTGTTCCGGCGGGCGCTCGCGGCCTTCAATTCGACCTTCACCAGTGCCGATCCCGCCTTTGCCGACCTGCTACCCGCACAGGAGGGCAGGACCTACAGCGCCGCCAGTGCCACTGATCGCCTCGACTACGTCAAGGTACCCTCCAGGACTTTGTTGGTTCTCCCACTCGCGTTGATCCATTGACAATAACTCTTCCATTACGCCATCGGACAACAGAATACGGCGTATAGCATGACCTATGTGGAGTACTCGAGCACAGTGCGCGGCACCCTGCCGTACTTCTCCATTAAGAATAGGGCCAACAAGGCCGTCACGCCCTCAACCGCGTCCGTTCAAGCCGCCATGACTGACTACGCAGCCGCCCTCAATTCTGGTTTCCGCCCACCTTGCAGTGCAGTCCACTCTCTGAGCTCCCTGGAGCACTGACACCAATATTCGTGGGCGGCAGGCGACCTGACGGGCGACATCTTCAATGGCCCTGGTACCAACTCCTGGCCGATGGCCTACGTCGTGGTAGCGTCGGTGCGCAGCAGCTTTACCCCGTCCGATGGCGATTGCACGGTCATCCAATCGCTGGTTGAGCTGCTCAGCTGGACTCAGGTCAACGACCGCGCGGCGTCGGCCATCACCACGGCCAAGTTCTTCCCGCTCACCACCCCCTACTTCAAGCGCGTGATTGACCAGCTGGGCAGCGTCGTCTGCGGTGGCAGTCGCGCGCTGGGCGACACCGCCTTCCTCATCGGCCAAGGCTCCTCGCTGCAGTCTGTCAACGACTGGGTGCAGACGTACAGCTCCGACGAGTTCGTGCTCAAGTACTTCACGTCCAACACTGTCACTGCGTTGAACAGTCTGGCCAAAGGTACGTTGTTGCAGCATTTAGTTGAACGCTGGAAGACTGGGCTCTCATGCGCGTGACCTTCTGCACCAACAGGCGATCTGGATTTTGCCCTTGGCGTCAAGGCCGGGTATGGCACCATACCCTTCCTCTCGCTTTCGCTTTTTCGTTTTCTCGCATTCGCTCTTGTACTGCACACCAAGTCTCATACCGTCACTCCTGTCACTCCAGGTTCGGTGTGGCGGGACTGGAGCAAGTGCAAGTCTTTGAGGGGGTCACATTTGGCGTGTTTCCCGTTTACAACGTACATTACACAGCCCCTCTTCTAGGAAGCGGCTGTGGTGGCGCTGCTGACAACACACTCTCCTTGCCCAACACGTGCAGATTCCAGAGTTGGTCGCATATCCTGCTCTGGTGCTCAACACGAGCATCCTGGTTGACGTGTACCTCAACAGGGTGACCTATTGGGACGACCCGAAGGCACGCTCTTCTCTTCTGGACCATCGTCGACTTTAGACGCTATGCTTACCACTTCTTTCGTACAGATCGTAGCGCTGAATCCGGCGCACCCGTTGCCGCACATGCCAATCCGCACCATCATGCAGACTTCTCTGTCCTGTACGTCCTTTGTCGCTTCTGCTGTGGGTTGGCCTTCAGAAGGGACGACAGTAATGATTCTAATTCTCACCTCTCACACAACAGACATTACCTCGGTCTTCACCTCGGCTCTGTCCGCATTTGATGCTGAGTTCAACTCCACAGTACAATCTCCCACTGACGCACTTTGTTCACCACACGGAGTGACGAATATGGTCATTGTCGTTTCCAGGTGGGCACGGCGTACAACGTGTCGTTCCCGATCCAGACGGCCAACAGCAACACCCTCTCAGTGGCCCTCAGCGCAGCGCCGCTGCTAGCCCTCTGCGGTACGCCCTCCCCAAAGAAAAATCGCCACCAGGTTGTGTAATCTCATCGGGCCACTGGTTTGGTTGTGGGCAGGTACGACGCCATATTCGCTCACGTGGACGCAGAGCGGAAACGTCAACCGCAACGCGACGCGCTTCTCGATGGTCAATATGCTCGGTAATGTCGTGAGCGTTAATGCGACCACCGTGCTGTCCGCTGTGGCGAGCCAGACCAACTCTACCAACGGCCTCTACATACTCTGTACGCGTCTCCTTCTCTCATCGTCAATCCCCCCTCGTCGTGGGGCCAAGTGAGTCGGCTCACATCAACCCATTGGCGGCAGCGACGGGCGCGGACAGCTGGCCGATGGTGGCGAGCTTGCCGTTCCTGCTGCCCCTGTCGTCGACGGTGGACTGCCAAAAGGCGACCGCGCTGGTTGACTGGATCTACTGGGTCTCGACCTCGTCCCAGGCCTTCCGCTTGGCCGCCAGGACCGACGCCGTGTCGTCGGGCCAGGTGCCCGAGCTCCAGAAGAGACTCCTGCGCAGCCTTTCCAACGTGCGTTGCATACCAACGCCCAATGCGATCTTTATTCATTTATTCATTTATGTATTTATTTGGTTTTTTTTGTTATTATTTGGTTTATGTTTAGGTGACGTGTGACGGTCGGCATGTGCTGTCGGCGTGGTCGTGCATCTCCGACGGCGAACTGTGCTCTGGTGCCGGCACTTGCGTCGAGGGCAAGTGCAACTGCGACGAGGGGCTCGTCGGCACCTACTGCCAGATGAACGCCACCGTATCTTCGAGCAGCGACGACGCCCTCACGATCACCCTGGTAGGTTTCTACCTTCTCTGCGCCATCGCACGCACTGCACGCACCGCGGCCTTACACGCGCCCATATGTGTCAGGCTGTCGCCTTGCCGGTGGCCTTTGTGGGCGTGGCCTGTATGACCGGCATGCTGGTGCTGGTGTTCCTCCTCGCACGGCGGGGCAGGAGCAGGCGCGAGGAATGGGACATTGACTGGAACGACCTCGAGGTAGGGGAGGAGCTGGGCATGGGCGGCCACGGCGAGGTGTTCAAGGCCAAGTGGCGCGGCACCGAGGTCGCCGTCAAGATGCTGGCGGCCAACGTGACCGTCACCAAGGACATGCAACGCTGCTTTGCCGGCGAGGTGGAGGTCATGGCCAAGTTGAGGCACCCGAACGTGGTGCTGTTCATGGCGGCGTCGACCAAGCCGCCCAAGATGTGCATCGTGATGGAGTTCATGGCCCTCGGCTCCCTCTACGACGTACATTTCCCTTATATTTGTTGCTGTTTTTGTTGTTGTTGTTGTTGTTTTTAATGTTAATCGGTACCATCGATCAGTTGCTGCACAACGAGCTGATACCGGAGCTGCCGTTCAAGCTCAAGATCAAGATGGCCTTCCAGGCGGCCAAGGGCATGCACTTCCTGCACTCGTCGGGCATCGTGCACCGCGACCTCAAGTCCCTCAACCTGCTCCTCGACGCCAAGTGGAACGTCAAGGTACTGCTACTGAGTGTCATTGGCCCATTCTTGGCGACCAGCGCTCACGACATGTGCGGGTGTTTGTTGCAGGTGAGCGACTTTGGGCTGACCAAGTTCAAGTCCGACATGGCTCTGGGCGGAGGCGCCGGTGCGGACAACAAAGGGCTCGGAACGATCCACTGGACGGCGCCGGAGGTGCTCAATGAAACGCACGACATCGATCATGTGCTGGCCGACGTGTACAGCTTCGGCATCATCCTCTGGGAGCTCCTCACCCGCCAGCAACCCTACCTCGGCTTGAGGTGCGTCGGAGCCAAAACCGCCAACTGAACACCCCCAACTGACCGCATGGCACACGACACACATCAGCCCGGCGGCGGTGGCGGTGGCGGTGATTCGAGATGGCCTGCGGCCCAAGATCACGGCTGCGGACGTGAGCGAGGAGACGCACGAGTTCGTGGAGCTGATGAAGACGTGCTGGCACGAGGACCCCACCATCCGCCCCACGTTCCTCGAGATCATGACCCGCCTCAGCTCGTCCGTGGACAAGTCCCGCTCCTCCTTCACCTCGCGCACCAGCTCCAGTTCATCGAATTCGGACTCCAAGGTGCGCTCGACGAGCTCGATTCCCACCGTCAGCTCGTCGTCGTCGGCCTCGTCGCGGGCCTCCTCTGGACGCGGCGTCGCCGCGTTCCGTCCGCCTGAAGGTGCGCTGCGCTGCCCACAGTCTCACGCTCACCTCTCACCCCACAACTGACCCTCAATTTCAATTCCGAACTCGCAGGCGAGGTGGCGATCGTGTTCACCGACATCACGCGGGCGGCCTCGCTCTGGGAGCACAACCCGGCAGCCATGCGCGATGCCACGATGGCCCACAACGACCTCATGCGCTCGCTGATCGCGCGGCACGGCGGCTATGAGGCCGGCACGGGCCGCGAGCGCAACACGGGCGAGGGCTCCTTCTGCGTGGTATTCACCCGCGCGCACGACGCCCTCCGCTGGTGCGCCGACGTCCAGCGCGCCCTGCTCACCGTGGCCTGGCCCGACGGCCTGCTCACCCACCCGGGCGCCGCCGAAGAGCTCTGGGAAGGCGGCTACGACGAGCGGGTGGTGTTTCGTGGGCTGCGGGTGCGCATGGGCGTCCATGCTGGGCACCCGCGCGTGCTGCGCGACGCCATGACGCGGCGAGTGGAGTACGTGGGGTCGACAGTCAATGCGGCGGCGCGAATGACGGCCCTGGCGCACGGCGGCCAGGTGGTCGTATCGCAACAGGCGCGCGACAAGCTCGCCACCGAGGCACCCGCCACGCCCGGCCAGTCGGACCAGGCCCGCGCAGAGACTGAAAACCACAACAAGCGGCTCAAGCGATTGGGCCGCTTCGAGCTGCCCGACTCCCCAGCCGGTACCGCCTTGCTTCACCCCTCCGCCTCCGCCGCCGCCAACTAACCACCACTCCGCACAGGGACAATGCTGTACGAGCTTAAGGTGGCGGGGCTTGAGAGGCGGTTCTTCGGCGGCGTGTCGGTAGAGAAGGACGACGACGGCACATCGGATGGCTCACCAGAGGCGAGCCATTCGGTGCGCACTCGCTTTGGCTATCGTGTGTCGCGTGTCTGATGGGGCTAACTGATTTTTTTGTGCCGTCAGTCGGGCTCGGGCAAGTCACACGATGGCGGGGAGAGCCGCGAGGTGCAGGAGGTGGTGGGCGAGGGCATGGCGTTCAAGGAGGACCAGTTCCTGACGTCGGCCAATCTGTGCCGGTGGGTCATCGACTTCAAGGTGGTCCAGCTCGGCGACCAGGTTAGTCTCTCTTTGCTGGCCACGTGGCCGTGGCTGACTTGCCTACGCACGCTAACCGCGCGGGTGGGCCAAATTAGGTGGGCATGGGCAGCTACGGTGTGGTGCACCGGGGCAAGTGGAAGGGCGTGGAGGTGGCGGTGAAGAAGTTCATCAAGCAAAAGCTGGACGAGCGGCGCATGCTCGAGTTCCGCGCCGAGATGGCCTTCCTCTCCGAGCTGCACCACCCCAACATCGTTCTCTTCATCGGTACACCACACATACAGCACACGGCAAGCATGCACGCACGCGCCTCAGCTCTGCTGATCATATGGATTGCAAACACTACATACAGGGGCGTGCATGAAGCCGCCCAATCTGTGCATTGTGACCGAGTTCGTGAAGCGGGGCAGCCTCGGAGAGATCATCAGCGACCACACGGTGAAGCTGAGCTGGGTGCAGAAGATGGGCATGCTCAAGAGCGCCGCGCTGGGCATCAACTACCTCCACTCCCTCTCGCCCGTACGCTTTAGCCCTCTCTTCACAGCGTCTACGTCCCGCACAGCTCACCCTCTCTATCTGGTTGGTGGTGGTGGTGGTGGTGACATGGTGCAGGTGATCGTGCACCGAGACCTGAAGCCGTCGAACCTGCTGGTGGACGAGAACTGGAACGTGAAGGTGGCCGACTTCGGGTTCGCGCGCATCAAGGAGGAGAACGTCACCATGACCCGCTGCGGCACTCCCTGCTGGACCGGTACACCCAAACCCGGGTCCTCCGTAGGTGGCGTCGGCTCACCACCTTTTATGCGGCATCGACAGCACCGGAGGTGATTCGAGGGGAGAAGTACAGCGAGAAGGCCGACGTGTACAGCTTCGGCGTGGTCATGTGGGAGGTGGCGACACGCAAGCAGCCCTTCGCCGGGCGCAACTTCATGGGCGTGTCGCTCGACGTGCTCGAGGGCAAGCGGCCCAAGGTACCGTCGGACCTGCCGCCTGCCTTCAAGAAGCTCCTCAAGCGGTACGGCCACCTTCATTCTATTCCTCGGAAACACGAAGCTCTCATTGGTGTTTGGGTGCTGATCATTGCCACCAATTCCAAGCTCTCATTGGTGTTTGGGTGCTGATCATTGCCACCAATTCCGGACCAGGTCGTGGCATGCCGAAGCAAACAAGAGGCCCACGATGGAGGAGATCATAGAGGCGCTTGATGCCCAAGCTGCCGGTGCTTTGGCTGGCTCGCCGGACAACGCCGTCTAACATCTTCGCGACAAGCGGAGAGAGACACAGAGATTGGGATAACCCACCAAGTGCAAGTTAAAGAGGGAGGAAAGGACCTTGTCTCCTTCATGTATTAAAGAAACTGAAAAAGGAAGAGTGCAAGCTCTGCTGTGGGATGATGATGGATAATAAGAGCGAACGAAGTACACGAGACCAGAAGAGAAGAAGACAATCGCAAAGAGGCAAAATCGAAGCAAAAAAGAGGGGAGCAACAAAAAGGATACGGCACGGTGGATTCCCGGGTGGTCGCCCACCCCAGTACTAACACCGCCTGGCGCAGCTTAACTTCGCTGTTCGGATGGGAAGCGGTGCTTTCTGCGCAGTATGGCCGTATCCAACCACTGCCGTCCGGAAAAGACAAAAACAAACAAAAAGGAGAAAAAAAAAGAGAAGTATGCAGCATCGGCAACGCCAGGAGAAGGGGTAGCGTTGCTGGCGCGAGAGGTGGGCCAGCATGCCACACTCCTGTTCAGTCTCGACCGGCTGCTGCACGAAATGGTGACCGCAGCCGCAAGCAACGCTCCGACAAGCAGAATGAGCACCTCACCCTCGCGCCTCGACGGCTTCACCCGCAAGCTCGTTCACACGATGGTACTCTTTTTTTTTTTTTTTTTTTTTTTTTTGAGGTTTATCATATGGACACAGGCAGAGCAGTACGGGCTGACTACCAAGTCCTACGCGGGCTACACGCTGCCTTTCTGTCGTAGAGGCGATGACAGCGTTTATGAGATGAAGCGCGTCGTCATCTCTTGGGCTCCCTCCGCTCGCCTGTGCGTAGTGGCTTCTTTTTTTGGAATGGGCATTGCCAACACTGTGCGTCGTGCGTGTGCACAGACCAAAGGAGCCTATTGGGGACATGTACCTGCGGCTGAAGGGCAAGCGCAATCGGCTAGACAGGGCCTGCTTCCAGGAAGCACACGACGTGGCCGGCGCACTGCCGGTCTGGGAGAGCAGACGCGCTGTGGAAGAGAGAGATGAAGGCGGCACGCGTGCATCGAAGCCCAGCGCACTCACCACCCAGCTATTGTTTCCCGATGAAGTGTTGCTCGCCATCTTTCAGCATCTCCCGTGCGAAGACCTAGTGTGCGCTGGCCTGGTTTGCCGCCAGGTCTGACTCCTCAGGCACAACATCTTGTGTGGTTCCTACTGACATGCCCACAAACCACACACGTACACCGCACACGACACACTAGTGGAATGCTGCGTCGCTGGAGGCTTCGCTGTGGCGTAGGTTGGCGTGGCCCATGCTACGCCCGTGGGTGCAACAGGAGAGTGCACTCCGCGGCGGTGTCCACACCGAGGTGGTCGATTGCTGCCTCGAGCGCCGCACGCACATGAAGATGAGCAGGAGGGCTCCGCCCGCCGATCAGCGTGCGCTCGACCGCCATGAGTGGCGCCGCTACTGCGTCGACAACTACGCGCGGTGGCGCTTCTCCCATGACGACCCGAGGCGTCGTCGCCGATCGATGCACCAGATCAAGCACGCACGGTTTTCTCACCACCACCCTGTGCAGCCTGCCCCACGACTAGCATTTAGTTGGTAAAACGAGAGGTTCGTTACCAGCAGAATTGTCGGCACAGCAGTAAATTGGAACGCCGGTCCCTATGTCGCTGCCGAGTCCCGGCACTGTGATCTCCCGGGGAGACAGCAACAAAGTAGGAAAGCCAGCGTTGTTGATGCGTGCGTTGCTGACATGACTAATTGTCAGAACTCAACGTCCACCTGTTCAACGGCAAAGGGAGCGAATCGTGGCCTCTTTCCTACCCAGTGATGGCTGGCCTACTCGGCAACTCGACGGGCTACAACGGCTACTGCACCAACGTGCAGGAGCTGGTTAGGCTGCTCAGCTGGGCCATGGTCAACGAACGCGCTGCAGTGCTGGCGTCTACAGACTTCTACCAGCTCACCATTGTCCGGTACTTAAGGTATTCCTTGCCCTTTGACTGACTTTGACTTTATCTGAACTGTGGTTGGGCACTAGTACTATCCCACCAACAGTAACGAAACTAATCGTGAAGAGGCCGCGATTGCCGATGGTGAATGCGTTGGCCAACATGTGCTGTCCGTGTGGGGATGTGTGGCTGATGGCCTCCTCTGTTCGGACCGCTGGTGCTGCGCCAGAACCGTCGGCGCAGGGAGGAATGGCACGTGGACTGGAGCGAGATAGAGCTGGGCGAGGCCATCGGCATGGGCGGCTACGGCGAGGTCTACCGCGGCACCGAGGTCGCCGTCAAGCTCGCCAACACCCAGACCACCAAGGACAGGCAGCGCAACTTCGCCGAGGAGGTGCGTTCTCCCCATTCCCCCTCGTGAGCAGAACATTAGAGCACTGCTTCTCTAATGCTCTCTCTCTTTCTCTCAATCACAATCGGCAACCTAATCCCTGACTGGAACTGTGATCGCAGGTGCTAATGCTGAGGCACCCGAACGTGGTGCTGTTCATGGCGGCGTCGACCAAGCCGCCCAAGGTGTGCATCGTATGGAGTTCAAGGCCCTTGGTTCCCTCCGTGAGGTGATTCTGCAACTCCCTCACAAGTTTCGCTCCTATGCACGTTTTTATCTCCGATGCCGATGTGTACAGCTTCGGCATCATCCTCTGACACGCCGCCGAAGAATCGCATCTCCAGGCCCGCCACCTTCAGCCCTGGCTGGGCAGCACGTACTGGGCGGTCAGGGTTCGGCGAGAAGGATAAACCCAAGACACGGCCGTATAGTAATCGAGTGTAAGGTCGACGAGCGCACGTACAAGCCCATTCATCGGACGTTATGATTGGTGTACAGGGGATGGGTGACCGATGGTTTATTGGAGGATATGGTCAGCACGATGGGACCAGCCTCCTGGTATACTTGGCCATGGCACCAGAGTAGGCCACCGGGCATGCCGGGCTGGACGGGTAAGGCAGGAAGGTCACCGTAAGCAGATTGGCATCAGTCACCACAACCACGACTTCGGTCTGGCAGAGGACATTTGGTGTGAGTAGCGATCACTCCGAAGGAAACCAAAAAGCAGGCAGGGAGTACCACGCCACAGAAGGAGTAGCCATTGTCATCGATGGAGCCATAGCCAGTACCAACCCCGCGATAGAGCGAAGCATACCACGAAGCGCTTCTGTTCCCCCGCACGCTTTGTAAGCTGGGTGCGAGGAGGCCCCTCTTTCACTTACCCAGGCGAGGAGGTAATGTTTGCTCCGGACTGGGTCAGCTTCTCGAGAGACACGCAACCAGAGCTGTCTCCGTCGCCCCACTCCCTGTACCACGTGCCACTATATGGAGAGACGGCTGAGTAATGAGAGGCTCAGGCACCAGGTGTATTAGGCGTACGTGAGGTTCGGCTCAGCGGTAATGAACGAGGCTGCACAGACATTGAGGGCACAGGCCACAATGAGCATGCCCACCAGAAGCGAGCTTGTGGAGGTGTTGCACTTCATGTTGGGGTGGTTTCTCCGCCGCAGGGTGAAAAGACACATTGAAAAAGGTCAGCTTATAAGCTGGATCACAATATACCCCATTGGTAGAACCGGCCAGCATGCTCGCCAAAGCGCCGCCATGGAAGCTCCCAGTGGTCAGTTTTATCCGGAGTGTTTCCGGTCATCAGCGCCCCTGACTTGCTCCCTCTTATGATTTCATCACTTCAGGTCGTTACAGGTGATGGCATTGAGCTGCGCACAAGCGGCTAACGACAGAAGAAGTGAAGTGCTGAACAGCCAAACTGGGCTCTACCGCCTAAGCAGATACTGATTATGATGTGCTAATGTTGCCTAGCCATCTGGGATTGTTGAGCGTGCCCTCATACTTGAAGTTCTTAAAGACGTCACCATGTTTCTGTGGCTGTTTGTAATAGTACATGCATGTTGTATAACATGTATCTCTAGTTGACACGACACATGAATGAAGCACGACACGCCACGAGTGTGTGCTGTGCTGATGTGAGTGGGGGCTGCACAGGGCAGTTGTTTTTACACGGTCGTGTTGCCGGGGGGCGCAGCGCCGTTGTTGCTCTCCAGCGCTTCCAGCGTCTCGATGACACGTTCCATTGTCGGCCGTTTCGTCGCCACGCCGTGCCATGAACTGCGCGCAGGCACCAACACGACACACAAGCACGCCGCGTTTTTTAGCTTCCAACACTCTGATTACCCGCTCGACACTGTCTCGAGACGACGTACTTTTTGATGATCTTCTTGAACGGGTGGGGCAGGTCGGCGGGAATCTTGGGCCGCTTGCCCTCGAGCACGTCCATGGTGACCGCCATGAAGTTGCGCCCGGCGAAGGGCTGCTTGCGCGTCGCCACCTCCCACATGACCACGCCGAAGCTGTACACGTCGGCCTTCTCGCTGTACTTCTCCCCTCGAATCACCTCCGGCGCTGTCATCATTGACACATCGTCATGACGACGTCAACCAAAGCTGGTGAGCCGGCCGGTCAAGTACGTCGCGTTATCGTTGTGGGTGAGGTACCGGTCCAGCAGGGAGTGCCGCAGCGGGTCATGGTGACGTTCTCCTCCTTGATGCGCGCGAACCCGAAGTCGGCCACCTTCACGTTCCAGTTCTCGTCCACCAGCAGGTTCGACGGCTTCAGGTCTCGGTGCACGATCACCTGCACCATGCCGCCACCGCCGCCACCAACCAGATATAGAGAGGGTGAGCTGTGCGGGCGTAGACGCAGTGGAGTGAGGGCTAAAGCGTACGGGCGAGAGGGAGTGGAGGTAGTTGATGCCCAGCGCGGCGCTCTTGAGCATGCCCAGCTTCTGCATCCAGGACAGCTTGGTGTTGGGATCGTTGATGATCTCCTTGAGGTTGCCCCGCTTCACGAACTCCGTCAGGATCGCCAAGTTGGGCGGTTTCATGCACGCCCCTGGGCAGACACGATACGCGTGAGTCACACACACACACACACACACAACGGCGGTGTGGTGTACCGATGAAGAGAACGATGTTGGGGTGGTGCAGCTCGGAGAGGAAGGCCATCTCGGCGCGGAACTCGAGCATGCGCCGCTCGTCCAGCTTTTGCTTGATGAACTTCTTCACCGCCACCGCCACGCCCTTCCACGTGCCCTTGTACACGGCGCCGTAGCTGCCCATGCCCACCTGGTCGCCGAGCTGGACCTCCTTGAAATCGATGATCCAGCGGCACAGGTTGGCCGACGTCAGGAAGTGGTCCTCCCGGAACAGCATGCCCTCGCCCACGCTCTGTAGCATCTCGCAGTCGCTCTCCGTCGAGGCCTGTCCGCGTACCCACGAGCCCGACCAACAGTGAGCACCACACACACACACACACACCACTGCAGAGTCTAGATACAGAAACACACCGAGCGATCGCTGTCGGAGCCGCTGGCGGCGCCGTCGTCGTGGTCCTTCTGAGTCGACACTCCGCCGAAGAAGCGGCTCTCCAGGCCCGGTACCTTGAGCTCGTACAGACTCGTGCCTGATGCAGTCGCGCCAACCGTCAATCTTCTCCGTTCATCGCGCACGCACACGCTCACCGCACACACCACTGCACACACGACCGCACACACTGCACCCATGACACACATGACACACGACGTACCGCCAGGGGTGTCAGGAAGGTTGAAGCGGCCAATCTTCTTGAGCCGCTTGGCCTCCATGAGCTCGGGGAGGACCGAGTCGTTGAGCGAGGCCGAGGCGAACTCGGTGCGGAGCTTGTTGCGCGCCTGCTGCGACACCATGACCTGGCCGCCGTGCGAGAGCGCGGTCATGCGCGCCGCGGCGTTCACCACGGCACCCGTGTATTCGACGCGCCGCGTCATGGCGTCCTTGACCACGCGCGGGCTGCCGGCGTGCATGCCCATGCGCACCCGGAGGCCGCGATAGACCACCCGGTCGTCCATCAGCTCGTTATGCTCCTCGGCAGCGCCCGGGTGGGAGAGCAGCCCGGCGCCCAGGGCAGCGCGAGCAGGGCGATCTGGGCGTCGGCGCACCAGCGGAGGGCGTCGACGGCCCGGGAGAACACGAGGCAGAAGGAGCCCTCGCCCGTGTTGCGCTCGCGGCCCACGCCGGCCTCGTAGCCGCCGTACTTGGTCGCCAGCGAGCGCAGCAGCTCGTTGTGCATTGATGTGGCGTCGCGCATGGCCTCCGGGTTGTGCTCCCACAGCGAAGCTGATCGCGTGATGTCCGAGAATACGATCACCACCTCGCCTATGCGTCGTATGCGGTGTGTGCGGTGTGTGGTGTGTGCGGTGTGTGCGGTGTGCAGTGAGTTGAGGCGAATAAGGGAGTATGAGCCGAAGGGGGGCAGATCGCACCTTCGGGCGGCCGCAAGCCGACAGCGGCGACCGAGGCCCGGCTCGACGAGGCGGAGGAGTCGGAGCTGGTTTGCGTGCCCGTCAACGATGCCAAGCGCGAACCGCCAGTCGAAGAGCTAGGTTTGGTCATGCATGAGCAAGACGTGTGTGTGTGTGGTCGCGCGTGTGAGGTGGCAGGTGGTCGCGTGCGGTTGTGTGCGGTTGTGTGTGCCTACCTCGAGTTTCGCTCGGTGTCCGACCGCAGGGTGTCGGAGTAGGAGCTGAAGCGGGTCATGATCTCGAGGAACGTGGGGCGGATGGTGGGGTCCTCGTGCCAGCACGTCCGCATCAGCTCCACAAAGTCCTGCGCTTCGGGTGGCACCGGGTCCATCATGTCCGGCCGCAGGTTGTTGCGAATCACCGACAGAGCGATCGCCGCAGGGCTGCGGCGCCACATCCATGAACCACGACACTACGTCACCACCTTGGCAAACTCACACGACACGACACGACACACGACACACGACGCGACACGACACGCACTACATGCAATCAACACGGTACATAGCGCGCACACCTCATGCCAAAGTAGGGCTGTCTGCGCGTGTGCAGCTCCCACATGATGATACCTGGACGGCCCAGCCAAACAAGAAACGAGTGTGAGGCCAGTGTTGCGAACCGCCCACCGCGGCACGAACCAGTGTGGCCACGAACGTACCGAAGGAGTAGACATCGGCCAACACGAAGTCGGCGTCGCCCGTCTCGCTCAACACTTCGGGCGCCGTCCAATGCACCGTGCCGGCGCCTTCGTCCGGGCTCCCCTTCTTGATGTCATCTCGGAACTTGGTCAAACCAAAGTCGCTCACCTGTAATGGGGAAAAAGCTTTGTTAAAAATATACAGAAACCATGTTATCTTTTTTGGTGTTATGCATTTTTGCGATTATTATTATTATTATAGTGTGCAATTATTAGTAGTACTATGAAGCGTTGGGGGGGGGATACCTTGACGTTCCACTTGGCGTCGAGGAGCAGGTTGAGGGACTTGAGGTCGCGGTGCACGATGCCCGACGAGTGGAGGAAGTGCATGCCCTTGGCCGCCTGGTAGGCCATCTTGACCTTGAGCTTGAACGGCAGCTCCGGGATCAGCTCGTTGTGCAGCAACTGATAGGCGTCGCAAATGACACGTGACACACGCACGCACGCACACACACACACACACGCACACACACACACGCACACACGCACACACACACACACAACACACAACACACACACAACACAACACACAACACCGGCGAGGGAAATGTGATGAGCGGTTTATCGGAAGGGAAGGAGTAAAGAGAGAGAGAGAGAGAGAGAGAGACGCACGTCGTAGAGGGAGCCGAGGGCCATGAACTCCATGACGATGCACATCTTGGGCGGCTTGGTCGACGCCGCCATGAACAGCACCACGTTCGGGTGCCTCAACTTGGTCATCACGAGCACCTGCGTCACGCACCCGACACATAACGGTAGCTTGCGCTGATCGATGATGATGGACTATCTATAAAACTAGTGGCGACGGGTGAACGTTAACCTCATCGGTGAAGCAGCGCTGCATTTCCTTGGTGACGGTTACGTTGCCGGCCAGCATCTTGACGGCGACCTCGGTGCCGCGCCATTTGGCCTTGAACACCTCGCCGTGGCCGCCCATGCCCAGCTCCTCCCCTACCTCGAGCTCGGCCCAGTTGATGTCCCACTCGTGCTTCTTGCGCTGGCCGCGTTGCAGCAGCATGACCAGAGCCCATATCAAGCAGAACAAGAACGCCACCGCGACAGCCGTTCCCGGCAGAGTTATTCCCTGTGTGCGATGGTGCGTGTGCGTGTTGTGTGCGCGAGTGTCGCGGTGAGTCAAATTAGGGTGCGTGCCTGAAAAGAAAAGCAACAAAGAAAAAGAAAGAAAGAAAAGTTCGTACGAGGATGAGGGCAAGCTCGGTGTCGTCAGAAGACGTGGTTCCGTTTGTTTGGCAGTAGGTCCCCCTGAAGCCCGGGTCGCACTGGCACTGGCCCGTCACACAGGTGCCGACCTGTGAACACAGCTCCCCGCCCGAAATGCACGACCACACCGCCAGCATGTGCTCGCCACCGCAGGTCACCTGTAACACCACACTCACGACACACACGACACACACGACACACGACACACACATACGACACAGAGCGCATGTCAAGCGTTAAAAGTGCTGAATTCCCCATGAAACGCCGACACGACAGTGGTGGGCTGCGGCGTACGTTGGCCAGCTCGGTCAGGAGTCGTCGCTGGAGCTCGGGCACCTGACCCGACGACACGGCGTCGGTCCGGGAGGCCAGCGAGAAGGCCTTGGCCGAGGTCGAGACCCAGTAGATCCAGTTCACCAGCGCGCTCGCCTTCTGGCAGTCCACCGTCGACGACAGGGGCAGCAGGAACGGCAGGCTCGCCACCATCGGCCAGCTGTCCGCACCCGTCGCTGTCGAGTGCCGGGCGGAACGTAGCGCGATGCGTGAGTGAGCGGCGAGAGAGGCCTCGCATGGGAAGTGTGGGGTGGTGGCGCGTACAGAGCACGTAGAGGTTGTTGGTGGAGTTGATCTGGCTCTGGACGGCCGAGAGCACGGTGGTGGCGTTGACCTGGACCGCATTACCGCGCGGGTTGACCAGCGAGACGCGCGCTGCATTGGCGTTGGCGTTGCCGCTCAGCGTCCAGGTCATGGAGTACGGGGTCGAGCCTTGGGGGATAAACAGCACTGGTGGTCAGCCGGCTGCTCTCTTCGCTCTCCTTCTGCTGTTTCACGGTACCCACCACCCACCACCACCCACCACAGCTACCACCACCACCGCCGCCGCCACCACCACCAACAAAAAGGTACCACACAGGGCCAGCAGCGGCGCTGCGGTGAGGGCCACCGAGAGGGTGTTGTTGTTGGCCGTTTGGATTGGGTACGTCACGTTGTACGCCGTGCCCACCTGAGGAGAGGATGCGGCAGCCACATAGTAAGACTTGAAGCCACGCTAAATTGCGACACATGTCGGTGTTGGAGTTGGTGTGGTGCACGGGCGTACCGTAGAGTTGAACTCGGCGTCGAACGTGGACAGGGTGGAAGTGAAGACCGAAGTGATGACTGTCATGCAAGGCAGGATGATGAGCGAGAGGCCAGGGGTAAAAGATGCGCGGTGAGAAATGCTGGGGAGAGGGGGGGGAGGACATACCTGAGAGAGTGGTCTGCACTATGGTGCGGATGGGCATGTGGGGCAGCGGGAGCGTTGGATTCAGCGCTACGATCTGAGGGTGCAGTCAACCGCCGGCGAGCGGGTGGTGTGAGCCATGGCAGGCAGACGCACAGGATCAGATGCGGCGTACCTTGGCGTCATCCCAATAGGTCACCCGGTTGAGGTACACATCGGCCAGGATCGAGAGATTGAGCACCAGCGCAGGGTGGCCCACCAGCTCAGGAATCTTTGGTATGCAGGTTAGCCGAGCGTGCGAGCGATGACGGGCCAATCCAATTCAAAGCGTCGTCGACGGCAACAGCGATGACGCGGGCGGACTTACGTTGTAAACGGGGAACACGGCAAATGAGACTCCTTCGAAGGCCTGCACGTCTTCCAGGCCCGCCACGCCGAACCCGTCCTTGAGGCCGATCGAGAAGTCCAGGTCGCCTGGTTTTCCCCCAGACAAGTCAAAAAGGCTGCAATCCCGAATGGGCGGTGGAGGCCAGCGCGCGCGTACCTTCGGCAAGGTTGCCCAGGGCGGTGACCGTGTTGGACGTAAAGTACTGGGTGGGAGTTGGAGAAAAATGAGAACATTCCACGCATTCATTCATCTTGACCCGGCTTATTGTGGGGGCTACGAGGCGTACCTTGAGCACAAAATCGTCGGAGCTGTAGGACTGCACCCAGTCGCTGATGGACTGCAGCGATGTGCCCTGTCCGATGAGGAAGGCCGTGCCGCCCAGCGCCCGGCTGCCCGCGCAGACGACGCTGCCCAGCTGGTCGATCACGCGCTTGTAGTAGAGGATGGTGAGCGGGAAGAACTTGGCCGCGGTGACGGCCGTCGCCGCGCGGTCGTTGACTTGCGTCCAGCTGAGCAGCTCGACCAGCGCCTCGATGGCCGTGCAGTCGTCACCGGACACGACCGAGGTGCGGAGCAGCGATGCCACCACGACGTAGGCCATCGGCCACGAGTTGGTACCAGGGCCGTTGAAGATGTCGCCCGCCAGGTCTGTCATTGCACGCAGTGGTGATCAGTGGCTGGGTAAGCCAGGCCAATCAAGAGAGATTCTCTGCTTAAGAGCAGAGTTACCATCTTTGACGGCGGCCGTGTAGTCAGTCATGGCGGCCTGAACGGACGAGGTCGATGGCGTGACGACCTGGTTGGCTCTGTTCTTCATGGAAAAGTACGGCAGGGTGCCGCGCACGGTGCTCGAGTACTCCACATAGGTCACGCTATACGCCGTGTTCTGGTGACGGTGGTGATGATGATGATGATGATGATGCGTGATGATGATGATGATGAGTCACTGGGCTCTGGCGCTGAGAGAGGGGAGGAGGGAGGAGGCAGCGGAGAGACCGGTAGGGTACCTTGACATAGTCTAGACGGCCGGAGGCGTTGGTGGCGCTGAAGGCCCGGCCCTCCTGTGCGGGCAGCAGGCTGGCAAAGTCTGCATCGGCACTGGTGAAGGTCGAATTGAAGGCCACAAGCGCCCGCCGGAACAGCTGCGTTATGCCATCGCCGCTGCCGGCTCTGCACGAAGAAGAAGAAGAAGAGTGTCATCAGCACAAGTAGAAGAGTGTGGAAGCACGCTCGACCGACCAAAAGAGGCGTCGGCAAGAAGAAAAAGGGAGACCAGCACGCACGTGTAGCTCATGGTGATGTTGTCGCTCGGGAGCGTAACCAATGGGTTGAGCGCCGCGATGGCTGAGTCGTTCCACTGCGTGACCTCGCCGAGCCACACCCGCGCCAGCGTAGCCCCGTCCAGCGTCTGCTCCAGCGGCACAGCAGTTGAGGCGTCAACTGAGGGCCTCACCACGTGGTAGGGGAAGTGGGGGGCTTACGAGTGCTGGACTGCCGGGGAGGTTGAAGACGACCACCAGCGCGCCGCCGGCCACGGGCACCGACGCTACGGTTTCGTCATCGCCGTCGTCTGGCCACAGCCCGGCTGGGGGCCTGCCGTCGGTGCTCACAAACCCGACGGAGCCGCTGGTCAGCTGCGTACCCGCCGTCATCAGCGACGAGGTCGCAGTGTATTTGAGCAGCACGTTGTCCGCCTTGTACTGATACCCTGGCGCGCAAGCATGGCAAGATAGATTCTTAGATTAAACTGAATAAGTGATGATAATATTACCAAAATAATAAAATTGGCATATTTTCCATATAAAAGAAACCCAAACCCTCCGCTGAACTGGGCCAGAAGGTGAGATACCATCGGCCCAGGCCGACCAGAGCGCAGACGAGGAGTCCTGACCAGAGCCGGGCAGGTTAATGCAGTGGGTGGACCACAGGGTGCCTGGTCAACAACGAGCAGACAATGAAATTTTTATAAGACAACCACGGCAAGAAAGGTCAGCAGAGGCTCACCCACAAGACACAGGGCGAGAAGGAAGAGCCGCGGGCTCCCTGCCACAATCGTCTTCATCTGCAACAGACTCCTCGGGCTCTTGGCGCGGCGTGGTGGTGCTGGAGTGGATGGCTTTAGAAGAAGCTTAGAACAAGGTTGCCAGAGAGGATACTGTTCGCGGCCGGGAAAGGGCGACAATGTCGGTTTGTCGATGTTGCTTTGCCCTTTTGTATCCAGCACCTGGCTAACAAGGGGGACCGGACACCTGGTTGACGAGGGGGCTGTTTCCTGCTCAAAAATAGCGCCTTCCCAGAGGAGGTGGCCTTTTTCTTGCCTATTTGGGTTGCGCCGGTTAGGGAGAGTGCACTCCGGCCTTCGCATCGCTCTGCCTTGTCTTGAGATAGATCAACAACATCGACACGAGAATGAAGTTCCTCCTCGCCTTCCTGTTTGTCTGCTGTTTCGCTTTCGCCGTGGCTCGCCCCACTGCTCGTTCGGCGGGCTCCGTCGAGTGCACCAGTACGATGCTGCTCCGTTGATTATGTTCTTCATGATGGACGAACGGATGGCTGGCGGGGTTGACCCTTTTTCTTTTCCTTTGTGTCAGTCTGCGAGTTCGCCGCCTCCTACGTTGAGGGCTTCATCGCCGCCAACGCTACGGAGCAGGAGATGATCTCGGCCATCGAGACTGTGTGCGACGCCGCGCCCGCGCCCCTCTCCACGCTGTGCGACAACTTTGTGCAGAACTACCTGCCCAAGGTCATCGCTGCTCTGGTCTCCAGCGAGCCCCCGGGTACGTCGCTCGCGCTAGACGAGTGAGTGAAGGAAGAAGACTGATCTCCTTTGTCTGTCTGTCCGTGGGCACAGCCACCGTATGCACCCAGCTTGGCCTGTGCGCCCCGTCCTCCAAGATGGAGGCCAGGGTGAGGCTCATGGCCTAAATGCGCTGCGCTTGGTTGTTCACGAACCGGAAGATGAAATGAAATTCACCTTCAAGCGCTTCGGTTCATTTCTTCAGAAATCTCGTGAACAGCTTCGATGAACTCACCCACAAGCTGGGGGTCGTGTGAGGGGTGGAGACCGTGGCCGAGATTGCCGATGAGGCCTTGTGTCGAACCGAAGCTCTGGAGCATCTTGCGCACCTCCTCCCGTATGACCTCCTTCGACGAGTAGAGCGCGCACGGGTCGAGGTTCCCCTGCAGCGAGCACCTGCGCCCACCCTTGCTGACGAGATCGCGAGCGTCGGCGGCAGAGATGGTCCAGTCGAGACCCACGACGTCGTATTCGCTGTCGCGAGCAAGCTCCTCGATGGCGTAGTTGGCGCCCTTGGCAAACACGATGAGAGGGATCTCGGGGTGCTTGGCCTTGAGGGCTCGTGCGATCTGCAGGAGGTAGGGCTTGGAGAAGGTGGCGAACACATCAGGGCCGATCTCGTTGGCCCACGAATCGAAGATTTGGAGCAATTGAGCGCCGGCCGCGACTTGGCCTTCGAGATAGATGATGATTGTGTCCGTGAGGCGCTGGAGAAGGGCATGCGACGCCTCGGGATACTTGTAGAACCAGGCCTTGGCCTTGGCGAACATCTTACTGCCGCCTCCCTCGATCATGTAGGCCATGAGAGTCCAGGGCGCACCGCTGAAGCCGATGAGCGGGACGCGTCCGGCCAATCGCTCCCTCGTGAGAGTGATGGCCTCGAACACGTAGTTGAGGCGCTCCAGAGCAGCCGAAGGCTCATCGAGCTTGGCCAAATCGTCGGGTGAGGTGAGGGGATGAGGGAAGTGCGGTCCGGCCTTCTCGAGCATAAGCACTTCCATTCCTAGGGCCTGTGGCACTACCAGGATGTCCGTGAAGATGATGGCGGCATCTAGAGGGAATCGCTCCACGGGCTGCAGCGTGATGGTCGATGCCAGCTCCTTGTTCCTGCAGACAGTGAAGAAATCCGCTCCGGCCTTCGCCTCGTGATACTCGGGCAGATAGCGCCCGGCCTGCCGCATGACCCACACCGGCACCCGCTCCGTCTTCTGCCCGAACGCAGCCCGAATGATCAGATCGTTCTTGAGCGGCGCGAATCGCTCATCCTTCTTTTGCTGCTGCGCCATCTTCGTGTTCGTGCTTTCGTTTTGGCTGGCCCGTTTTTCTTTTTGTTTTCACTATTTCTCGATCAGAAGTTGGCGAAGGTCAAGTACAAGCGATGATGGTGCCATGATGCAGGGTGAGGTCGTCCTGTACTACACCTATACCTACACCTACTGGTCGAACTCGGTCTCGTGTTCCATGCTGATGCGCTTCACCTTTCGCTTCCGGGCCGCGCCAGCGTCGGCGCCGCCATCGCCCTTGGTGTCGTCTCTGTCGTCGCTGGTGGCAGCACCCTCTGGTGGTCGCAGGTGGGCCGATGAACCCGAAAGGCTCCGCTTCCTCTTTGGCGGTGGCGGCTGCACACAATCTCAGATCAGTTCATGATTCATGGCACCACACATACACACAACACACGCCGCACACGACACGCGGCACAAGAGGTTGAGATAGGGCACCTCTGGTCGGCCGGGTTTGTTCTCATCTAGCGCGCCATTGGATGCTCGGCGCGGTATGCCGCCACTGCTACTAGTGAGCGAGACGTTGGAGGAGTGTCGCTGGCCAGACCCCTGGGGAAGGACTGAGGGCGAGCCGGGCCTGAAGCCGCTGCCGGCGCTATGCCGGGACAGCTGGGGCGACGACGCCGCCAAGACCGAGCCGCCGCTCCGTCGCTCGCCGACGTTCTGCTGTCGTTCGAGCTCGAGCTCCTGCGAGACGGCCCGATTGTCGCTGTCGTCGGAGGCGGCGTCGTTGTGGTCGAGCGTGGGGCTGAGCCGTCGCTTCTTGGCGTGCGGGTCGAAGCTTCCACCCGGGCTGAGGTGCGGAGAGCCGTCCTTGGACAGCGCCCGGCGTCTCTTGTCCCGCTCGACCGCAGTTTCGCCGCCGATCGTGGCCGACAGAGCCGAAGACGTCGTCGCTGAAGATGATCCCGACGATGCTCGCTTTCGCTTCTTGTTGGGGTCGACGGCCGCAGGGCTACCGACACTGCTGTTGTTGCTGCCGCGCCGCTCTTGCAGAAGGGTGGGCAGGCCGTCGTAGTGGTTGGCGGTGAGATCGTAGGCGCGCAGCACCCGCTGGAGGAGACCCGAGAGCACAGCGAGGTTGTCGGCGTCGGGGCCTCGCCTCAAGCTGGCCCGCATGACGAGGCACCACCTGTCCAGGTGCCCCGCCACGCGCTTGGCATACTTCCTATCTACACGGCCTCGACTCTCCCTCCCTTCGCCTTCGTCTTCATCGTCGTTCGTCGCGGCTTCGGCGGGCGCCACACTCTTGGCGATGACCCGCTGCAGCTCCCCGAAGAGCAGCGGGAAGAAGGCTCGCACGTCTCTGGCGCTCCACTGGTTGAACAGCGCGCACGACAGATGCGCAAAGGACAGCGGAAGCGCGAAGACGGCCTGAAGCAGCGTTGGCGCGAGCGCTGCAGTGCGAAGCAGCAGAAGCAGCCCTTGAACGAACTCTGTTGTGTCGACCAACACGCGAACACATAATAAGCGAACGACACGAGAGCCAAGAAGAGGCATGAGTAGCAGTACCCTGAGTCTGTGATCGGTCCTGCAGTCGGAGGATATCCAAGGCCTCTGCGGCCACCTCCTCAACACCGTCTACGCCGTGATTGAACTCGGCCGTCAGGAATTGCCATAGACAAAACTGGCTGATGCTGTCCCAGCCAAGCGATTGCTCTAAAATCATCAAACGACACCGGGGTGAGACGAGTGATTGCGCGACCGGTGAATGGGACGGGAGCATCGTACCGATTACAAATGGCGCGTCCCGCGGGCCAAACATTTCAAACTCGCCCAGTGTCAGCTTGCAGGCTAGAGACTCGATCTGTGTGCAGAAGAGGGAAATGAAGATGAGAAATACTTTGCACGCCAAGGCACCGTTGGAACATGAGATACTCGACGTACGTGCGTCGGATCGGCGTTGGCCACGATAAGTTGCACCAGCTCCACTCGATAGGCGCGCACGTACTCCGGCAGGTACCGGAACACATAGGGCACCATTTGCGCGAACAGATCCATCGATTCCTCCGCGCACCACTGCACCATCACAGAGAGTCGTTTTAGTGTTAGTGATCACGTCGATTTGATTGCGAAATGAGACCAGAGCATAGCGAGCAGAGAGAGAGAGAGAGAGTACCTTGCAATCCAACAAAAATGGGTAATCCTGAGATTCTGCCGACCCCTTGCTCATGCTATGTTCAACTAAAGTCGCGTAGGGGCTCAAAATGTCCTCATGAAGTTCTCCCATGTAGGTATAGCCATTGTCCACGTTCTCCATGAGAAGGCCGTTGTGGTGGTCGTTCTCGTCCTCCGGCGACCTCTCATCGAGTCCTTTGAGGCTTCGTCGACGTCTGTCGATGCCCTTAATGCCATGCACAATCAACCACACCAAAAATCGGAATCCTGATGGTGGTGCATGTGAGAGCGTGAGCGGTCAATCACTGTCGCTCACTGGGGTAAAGGATCCAAACGATGTAATCCAACGTTGGGGTGGGGGTGGGGGGCGGAACACATACCGAGAGAGGGAATGAGGAGGCGCAGCTCGTGGAGGATGTCCAGCAGGGCAAAGGGCGGAGAAGGCTCGGCGGAAAAGAGGTTGAAGTGGAGCGCGGGCCTGGCGGAGAGAACGGTCTCGGGAGCGAAGTCGACGAACTCCTTCGCCAAAGCATTTGCGAAAAACTGAGCCAGGTCCGTTGCCGCCTCCTGGGAGTATTTCGCGCTCGAGGACTGCAGCGGCGCACAAAGAGAGCATTCCGTTAGAACCACAACTTACACATCCGGTATGTGGCGTGCGGTGGCACCAGGCATGTACCATTTTTACAAAGTGCGCGACGAGGTGGTGCAGATTACTCGACTGGACTTCAAACGATCGGCTGCCATCCTCACTCAGCGAGTCTATCAGCTTCCCGAGCGGTCGCTCGACCGGCAACAGCGATTGCGGAATGTCCGTCCTATAGAGCCAACGAAAACGACGCGACGTTAGCGGTGGCAATTATGAAGAGCAAAAAAGAAGCTTGAAGCGACTCAGTCGGTTGTACCTGGCGACGGACTTGCCCTTTTCCGGCTCTTCCTCTGCGACTTCTTCGGCCACCGGTTCAGTTCGGCTGTACATTTCTTCCGTTGGCGATGCCTGTCGCTTCGGGCTGATGAGCGGCTTGTCCATCAGCATCAGGTCAAAATTGTCCAGTCCACCAGTCGGTCCTTTCCGGCCCACTGTTTGGACAAGCACCAAGCGTTAACGAGCGCTGTGAGTGCAGCGCCGTGGAAAGAGGCCAACTTACCAAAAGCGTCGGCATCGGCCAATTGAGGGAAGGGCAGCTTGGGTAGGGTGGCGGTGGTCTGTCCCGTGGAGGAAGACTGGGGCGTTTTCTGCGGCGAAACCAGGGGCGAAGAGGGAAGCGTAGGAGATCCGCCGGAGGAGAGGAGAGGAGAAGAGGTGCCAGACGGCTTTTGGTCCTCCTTGAGGAAAGGTCGGAAGATGGGGTGCAGCTTCTTCTTGAGGCTGGGTTCGAGTGTCGGGCAGTTGAACAGCGGAGCGAGAGATCTGTGGAGGCAAATAAAAGTGAGTCACGATGATGGCAACATAGCACGACAAAAGCCAATAGACTTTGATATCACGTACGTGACAACGTTCTTTCCGAGACACACGCTGAAGGAATTGTGCACTCCCTTGCGGGCAAAATCGCGGCGTTGTTCGTCGAACGACTCGATAGCGGTCGCAAGGAAGTCCAGCAAAGTTGCAGTCATGTCGGGGTACTTGGGAATGGAGTGCACCATCAGCAAGATGGCCGGCTCTGCGCAGCGGCACATAGAAAATCGGCGTTAGGGGCGGACCATGACGAGTGGACCGACAGAGGACTCAGATGTACGTACCGATATTCATGATGTTGTCCGTTCTTTGGTCATACGAAAACCAATCCCAGAACAGCGCCATCTTCGCGCTGTGACCAACATACTTGGTCTAGGAGCAGAGGGTGGGTTAATTGAAGAAAATAAAGCGGCGGTTGCCATCAAAAGGGTTATGTGCAAGACGGTACCTTGATGCACTTGAGTAGCCAGCCGATGATTGCCCAGCGAGGCACGATGTCTGAGCAGAGGACGTGGTTCGGAGGGTGATAGTTGCAGCAAATGTAGCGGATGAGATCCGGCACTAGAGTCTCGCTGTCGGTGGCGGGCATGTACTTCTGCATGAACCATGTCTGATATCGCTTCTGGTTGCCCATTTTCACCTGTGCGTTGAACATGGTAAACGATCGATGGGTGAGCCTCTGTAGCTACGTGGAAATCTGGTCGGGAAAACGTACGTTCTTGAGGATGAACATGAGCTGGGCTTCCATGTCCGGGGTGAGGCGAGAGGCAAAATACTTGGGCGGCGTGCGCACGGAGAGAAGGTCCGTGATGTTGGTGAGGGTGGGACTGAATGTGTTGGGCTTGTGGAGCAGGTCCTTCCAGATGACCTCATACTCGGGGAATTTCTTGTTCTCGTCGATGAGCCGAATCAGATCCCGTCCGATGACGCGCACCTCTTCGAACTGGTACATGCAATAATACACATCAACACGGGCTACCGCAACATGATGCCACACCGTTCAGGTTCAGAAAAGCAAGTTGATACCTTCTCGCGTAAGAGAGTGCTTGTGAAATTGATCTCTTGTTGGCGCAGCGCGGTCAAGGCCGGTTGCTTGAGGTGGTCTGTGATGAGGCGAGTGAAGGTGAAGTACACCACCGAGATGAGTCTCGGACTCGCGTATAGCCACGCCCTATTGCAATGGAAGTTAATTGTCAAGCTGGTGCAGGAAGGAAAGGCGGGGTGAGCTCGAGCAAGCAAGACTACGTACTTGTTATCCTGCAGCATTTTAAGCAGGGAGGCAGCGAGCTGAGTGTTCTTGGGCGTGTAGTCGCCGCTTGCAACGTGTCGCAGCAGGCCAGAGAAGACGCCGTCGAGGTTCTTGGCTCGAGCACGGATAAGCTCTTGGAGGACCCACATGAATTGCTTTTTACAGGGCTCCATTAACTTGTGGAATTTATCGAGGGCGATTCGTTTGAGCTGACCGACGCAGAAGTCCCAGTCATCTCGTTGGCACATGCTCAGCCACTTCCAGTGCTGAATGGAGGAAAACTTCGATTTTAGCGCGAAATATAAATGCCAAAAGAAAAGAAATGAAATTATGGGGAATTACCAGCATGGAGACCTGGGGAACGGTGAACACGCTGAAGAGGAGGGCCATGAGAACCTCGTTGTGACGCTCTTGGCTTTCTCCAGCCTAGAGGCAGGGGTGATGGTCAGAGCGCATGTTGTTGCGATTTCAAATAATAATGTAGACACAAATGTTGACCGCCGATGGTACCCTAATTTGTAGGAATCCGACAGCGTCGGCCTCTGACGAGTTGCTGATCTTGGTCTGCAGCTCGGTCCAGCATGATTTCCACGCTGATTCGAGATCATCGGGCACATCTATATCTCGCCTATTGAGTAGCTTGGGTCCTGGTGCGGCCTGCGGTTGCGCCGGCCCATCTTGGGCTCTCTTCATGTGATTGATGCGTGATGCAGCGGCGTGCGGGTTTGATGATGTGGGGTAGCGCTACGCGAATGGCAAAATGGGCCTGAAGAGATAGGCGATGTAGATTGTGTGGTCTGTGCCTGCGGTATGGTGGCGGCTGTGGTGGTGGTGGAGCCCCTCCTGCGTGGCTCTGTCCCTCTCTCGGGCTAAAAGAGAAAAGAGGGCGCCATGAGGGTCGGGCGTGGGTGGGCCGGGAACTCAGGAACCACCTTAAGATGGCGGTTTCTTAATGCCCGTTAAGGAGGCGGTTCGTGTCGGGTTATTACCGGAAAATGCAATAAATACGATCCACGTCTCCGTCAACTCCAGTCAAACGAGACTGGCGATAACGCGCGGAACCTGTGCGGTGATGGGAGCTCAGCCTCTGCCCCTGCTGCCGGCCTGGCCGCACTGGTGGCAGCAGGCCCGACGGGTGGGTCCGACCAACAGGTAGCCGCTGGTGAGCGGCGCTCGGCAGTCGGCGCACACGAAGCACCGCGCGTGGGCCACGTTGTTCTCGACCTTGACGCACTGGCCCTCCAGCAGCTGCGCGCACAGGTAGCACTTGCGGCCGAAGGCCTCCTTGACGCAGGCTGAGTGGTAGGGCTTGCCGTCCTTCAGCACGAACTTCATCGCCTTGAACGGCTGGCGGCAGCGCTCGCACGTGAAGCAGTTCTCGTGCCACGAACCGTTGAGCGCGCCCACCACCTGCTCCCCGTTGCCGAACGGCTTGCCGCAGCCCGAGCAGAACCGAGCGCCAGTGTTCAACCCTGCGCCGACGCGTTTGCCGTTTGTGATGTGCTTTTCGGGGAATCACAACTATTTGGGCGGAAGCGCGTACCGGCTTGCTGCACCTGCGTGCCGGGCGTGGGCGGGAGCGGTTTGGGCTTCGATGAACTTGGCGCGAGAGTGGCTCGGCTGCCCGCCGGAGGGCCGGAGGGCGCGGTGGGTCTGGTCGGGAGGCCGGTCGTGCTGGCGCTGGGAGCGGCTGCCTGATATCGCGCCGGTCCCGAACCGCCGCCGCTGAAGGCCGGTCGAGGGGGCGCCAGTGCCGACGTGGCTGGCGGTGCCCCGAGACTACCACTAGTCGCGGGCGTCGTCGCCGTGTGGGAGCGTTGAAAGCGCGAAGCCATGTCGCTCACGTTGCCACCGCCGCCGTAGGGCGACGTGGTTGGGGGCGCGGTGGCCGCGGCGGGCCGGAGCGAGCCAGTGCCGGCGGCGTTGACCGGACGCGGAGGAGGAGGCGCCGACGCAGCCTGCGCAGGCATCGGGGTGTCCGTCCTCTTCAAGTTACTCCGGAAGGTGGTGTTCGACGAAGCTGACGTCGTTGTGGTGGAGCCGGCCGAGACAGGGATCGAGGGCGCCGACGCGGACCCGGGCGAGCCGCGTGTGAGCGAGGGCGGCGCCGACGCGCCATTGCTCGGCGTGGTTGCGGGCGAGGGCTGCTGTGACTCGCTGCTGCTGCTGCTGGCTTCTCCTTGCTCTTGCCGAATCGCTTGCTCACGTTGCCCACCTTGGACTTCAGTGCCTTGCTCTCGTCCGCGGCCTCACCTGCTCCGAAGTACCCGCTCTCGGCTGTGAGCTTCGAAGAACCGTGTGTCGTGTCGTGTGTGCGTACCGCGCAAATTCTTGAACCAGCCGCCCATGCCGAGGCCCTTGCGGTCCTTGGCCTCGAGGCATGCCATGCAGATGGGTCGACCGTCCTTATCCTGCGTGTCGCCCTCAACGTCGCAGCCGCACTTGCAGCAGACCTCGAACACGGCCGGCTGCTGCTCCATCTGGTTGTGCGCCACCGGCGTGTGCGTCTGGGCCTTCAGTAGCACGCAGTTCCGCAGCGTGCCCTTCTCGGACATCGTCTCCCTATGATTCATTCCAGCGCCCGTCAGTAAGCTGCCGCGTCGCGTGTTGTGTGCGTGTGCGGTGGTGCGTGTGCGTGTGAGCCGGTACCGTTCCATGATGAAGCTGAACCACATCTGAGAGGCCTCGAACTGGTCGAGGAATGACTTGATGGCCGGCGGCTGGGCATCGCGGAAGGCCTGCACGTTGAGCTTGTTGTTCCGCATGAACTGGGCGTAGCCCGACAGGATGCTCTGGAAGAAGTCCAGGAACGCCGCCGCCACGTCCAGGTCGAACGCTCGTCCCTCTGCGCACCACCAAGAAAGACCGGTCCGTCCCGTGAGTTGTTACAATAAGTTATCATCGGTGTGTGTGTGTGTGTGTATGTGTGTTGTCGCGTCGGGTCGTGTGTGTGGCCTCATGAGACCAGGGCTTCCACGTACTCTTTCCGGAAGCCACAATGGAGTCGAGGCTCATCTCGAGCGTTCGTAACTCGTGTGCGGGTAGAACGCTCGGGAACCCGGGGCTGATGATGAAGGTCCCCTTATCCAAATCCACTAAATACACCTGCGCACGTGGCGTTATTATCGTCGTGTGTGCGTGTGTTATTGTTTTCTTAGTCAGGCATGTGGTACCTCCTCCAGGGGCTGTTTCTTGACGGCGGGAATGCTGTCGGCAAGAATGCCGAGCATGAAGGGCATCGGTGCCGCGCAGTAGTCCAGGAGCGACTGGGGCAGCACGGGGATGAAGACGTGCTGCCACGAGAACGGGTAGAGGAGTGCGCTGAGCGCGTTCACGCAGGACGACAGAATGCCCAGCGTCTTGGCCGCCACGATGACGCGTCGCTCCAGCAGCATGTTGCCGAAGAGCTCCAGAATCTTGGGCACGGGCATCAGCTTGAACAAGGTCACGAACGACACCTGCGCCGCCGTGTGATTTACCACGACGCTCAGTTGTGTGTATGTGTGTGTTGCGTGTGTGTATGTGTGTATGTGTGTGTGCGCGCGCGCGCGCGCGTGGCGAGAGAGCAGACAGATGCGTAAGGGCGTACATAGTCGAGGTATTCGAAGCGCGAGCCCAGCGATCGGGTGAGTTGGTAGACGTCGCCGTTGGAGCTGCTGGCGCCGCCGCCCGCCGCGAAGGTGCGCACGGTGATGGTCTCGCCCGGGTCCGGGAACTTGTTGGCCAGCACCGACTGCAGGAAGGAGAACACAGCGGTGGGCTTGGGCTTGGTCGACGCCTTCCGCCGCTCCTCGACGATGTCCAATATGCGCCGGAAGAGCGTAAACGAAGTGCTGGCCCGCATCCCGAACCGACAACAGATCAGTCAACTGCGTGTG